GTTTACTTCTTTTTCTGGAGTTTTGTTCTGTTCTTTCATTTGGGCCATGTTTCTTTGTCTCCTCATTTTGGCAACCTCACTGTGTTTGTTTCTATGTATTAGGTAGAATTGCTTTGATTCCCTCTCTTAGTAACATTGCCAGTTGTAGAATATTGCACCTGTTAGTTGTGTGGGGCAGAGCCTTAAGTCATCTCCATGGCAGGACAATCCATGTGAACCAGGTTGATGGAGTCTCAGATATGGTTGTCAGTGCTCTGTGGCTCTGTGTGGAGGAGAGATCAGAAAGTGGACTATAGCCACTGGCTGGCCTCTGGAGTTTTGTTCAGGAAGAAGTTGTCCCCCAGCACTTGGCCTGATGCCAGGCACTTCATTTTCTGCCCATATGCCACTGGTGCCTTCCAGCTGCTGCTACAGTGCTAGAGCCTAGAGGTAGTCATTCTGTATAAATCCTAAGTCCATTATGAGCCCTTTAAGAAGAGACATCAGAGAAACCTTCAGTTTCTTCCACTGCCCTAGTTCCCACTGGTTTTCACAGCCAGATGTTATGGGGATTTACCTTCCTGGCACTGGAACCCTGGGCTGAGTGGTGTGGTGTGTGACTGGGATCCCTCATTTTTAAGGTATTAACGTACCACACATGGGTGTGGGACCACCCATTCCACATCTCCAGATCTCTGTGTCTCCACTTCTCTTATCTATCTGTATGCACATGATTTCTTTCATTTCTTGGTTGTTGGACTTCCATACAGCCTGGTTTTCCTACAAATCTGGGTAATAGTTGTTTTGCAGTTTAGTTGGTATTTTTGCTGTGGTTGTGTGAGGAGGTGAACCATGTTTACCTATGCCTCCATCTTGACCAGAAATCTCATAAATCACATTTTCATAAATACCTAAAACCATTAACAGTAAACAGTACAAATATGAGATATTATCCATTCATTAAACATATAATTAATAGATACTTTTTGAGAGCGAAATTTGCACCAGGAACTGTTGTAGCTGTTGTAATTAGAACACTGAACAAGATATAAAAGTATTCTGTTTTTACAAATTATATAGTGTTTGAGAGTATATTAATAATGTTTTGGTGAAATTTATCAGCATAATGAGATTCTCTGTAAAGTGTAGCACAAACATACAGCAACCGTAGAATGGAACCAAGGCCTAAACTAATATTATGAAATTCAAATTCCTCCTGGATTTCTTCTATTCCTGCTTTTCTTTGTGAGTATCTATTGTATTGTAAATATTCTATTGCAAACTGACTTCTGTTTCCCAGACTTCATAGAAGAAAATATATACTGTAAACAGTTCTCAGTTTATTATGTGATAGTTCAGGATCCCACGTTCTTTCTAAGTTCCAAAATTCCCAGAGAAGAGATTCCATGACTCTATTTGAATGGATGATCACCATTGGAACAATTCTCTGTAGCAACACAAAAGGGCACAAATTAGTATTACCACAGCTACTGCTGCAAATATACACATCCAATATCCACTATTATGGGTTGGGAAGAAGTTATACTTACAAAAGGAGAACATACAGCAATTTTCTGTGTTGTGTTTTGTAATTAGAAAAATATAGAGTCTTTAGAAGAAAATACCTAAAGAAAGGGAGCTCTCATTTGATTTAGGGAAAAGTTATGACCTTCCCACTGAAGTAATGTTTCTACTAAGTCATTAAGAAATAAGTAGCATATCCAGATATCCTAGCTTGGGATCAGGATGAAGTCTCACATGGAAATCATACATTTCATTCAAAGGAAATTTCACTCAAGTAAAATTATGAAACTTTTTTTGTGATAAAAACTCTAAAATTAACACTTCTTGATGCAATGCTTATTAAAACTTCAATGTGCATATGATCATCTGGGAAAGTATTGCTAAAATGTAGATCTATTTTCAAAAGTCTAGGGTGGGGATTCTGAATTTCTTTAAGCTATTAAGTGATGTTGATAATCTGATGCACAAACTATATTCTGAGTTATAATTTCTAGTGTACTTTTAAAAAAAATTTATATTTGGAGATTAGTAGGCTACTTAATTGTTGGGAAATGCCTTGTCTGGCCTCACTGACAGGCAAGAGAGCCCCAAAGCTGGAGCTAATCAAGGAGGCCTTGGGAAAACAGGCCACTAGGAGATGAAACCTGTCCTCCTGGCAGGAGTGCAGCCCCTGCCTCCCTCACATCATCCTGCTTGGCCCTGTGATGGTCAGTTGTGGATGAAAGGTAAGTTTTATCACAAGGAGAAACAACCTAAGACAGACATTGGCTGGTATGAGCAGCAGACAAGGACTTGGGGGACACGGAGAAAGGGAAAAAGGCCTGCACGCCTTGGCTAGGCTTGGACATGGCTGGGAGTCCTCATTCTATCTTAAAGAAGTCTCATCATCTTTTGGTAGCTCTGCCCCGCCCATCTGGCTTTGGCTTGAAACAATACTAAAGGCAGGTACAGCCCTAAACTGGATCAGGCGGTTCCCAGAGGCAATCAGGTCTAGAAATAAGTTTCTCAAAGCATGCTTTGTTCTTCCTTCAAAAGTTATGATAACCGGCTCATACAGGGACGGAAGTTTACATTATACATAGACTCTGACCTGAGGCAGATCCCTTGTGTTCCTCCATTTATTATCTATGATCTCTATTTGTTTTCTGTAAACATAGCCTTTTAACATTGATTGATGAGCTTTGTTGTATACCCCTGTGCATATGGTTCTCAATAAAAGCCTTTGGACATGGGGGTTTGGGGCCTTCACCACTAGAAGGAAGTTGCCATGTCCCCTCTCCTGGCAAACAGAGAAGTGTTTGTGACAACTCGTGTTTATTCCCCTTATCTGTGACAACCCCAGGATGGTCTCTGTGGGATTCAGAGCTCCTCTCCCTCCTCAGCTGGATCCCAACAGTAACCCTCAGGTCCAGGAGCCCTGCACTCCCAGAAAATGCGTCACTCCCTGCAACACTTAATGTCTGAATGAATAAAGTGATAACAGAATAAAGTATAATCAGGTCTTCTTTAAAGTCAAAACTCAAGTATTTTAAGGATTGAATGGGATAATTGCTGTCAATGCTATCTCATATAAAATTCTTTCTTTTCTTTTCTTTTCTTTTTTTTTTGAACATCTGGAAATCCCCTAAAAATAGAGCATTTTTTATGTCATACTATTTTTACATTTGATTTATAATCATTTGGTTATTTGTAATTATCTTCAGTGTCTTCTAGTAATCTTATAGGAAAAAGCATGTGTTATCCTCTGAAGTTCATGCAGAGAGAGAAGTTAATCTGTGCTATAGTCACAAAACAGGCTTCAGCAGATACTGTGGGTAACTGAGCTGTCTCACAGAGATGTCTTTAAGTATAGCAAGTGGCTGGACTCTTTTTCTTGCCCATTGGTTGAGACCAATATTCTGGGAAGATTTTAGTATGATCCGTCTACTGTTGACACTCCAAGAAGTTGTGGGATGAGTATCTCAGTCCTGAAAGAGGATCTGACTTAGACATCCTAGCACTGACCACAGAACACCTCTTGTACATACTTATCATCTGAATCTGAGTCCATACTGAATCCATACTTTCCCTGCCAGCACCTCTGCTGGTCTAGGGTAATTACCTGGTGGATAATTCATACCCTCATCCCTGAGTGTTCTCAGCCCTGTAACAATATCTTTCTGAAGCTGTGATTGCTGCACTTACTGATTATTGTCTAAATTAACCAGGACAATTCCAAGTGATGCCCTAGTGGGCTGCCTGCATCCTACAAATATTTCTTCCTGGCCCCCCTTTATCATAGCGACTTTTCCTTCTTCCTGATGGCCAGGGTTGTTTCCCATGGCAGAATTATGACTCCATCCCTTGCCTATTAATTTCTTGGTGATCAGATGGTAACTATAGCTTAAAGTTTAATGAGATTTTTTTTCTGTGTCCCCTGGTTGAAAGATGCTCTGCCTAGAGACCTGTATGTAGATACACATGAAATCCTAGAATTGCAGTGATGGAAAGCACATTTGACTCCACATGAGTCACTGTGAGCAAAGCTAAGTGGGACTACTTCAGCTTTTACCCCTTGTTTCCTGTACCCATCTATCCAATATCTACAGGACACAAAATTAATATATGGTGTGTAATCATTAAGTTAGTGTGCCTACTGTATCCTGGAACATGTCACTACATCCTTTCAGGGTGTCATTTGTAATCAAGGACCTTAGCTATGCCTTTTGAGAGTGTTCCATTACTCAGCCTCCCCAGGAACTTCCTGATCGTGTTATATGTGACAAAACAAGTGTAGCCAATCATCATATGCCCACAGTAGCTTGTCCTTTGCTGTAAAGGAGGTCCCTTGTTTGATATGATGTGAGATAGTATCCCATACAGATGAATCAAGCACTCTATAAGGCCTGGAATAGTGGTCTGGCTGAGGCCCTGAGGGAAGGAAAGACAAGTCTTTATTAGAAATATGTATTGATTCAAATCAAGCTGAAATGTCCTCCCTTCCAGAGTAAAAGTGGTTTAATATGACCAATTCCTAACACTCCTTTGGAGCTGGTGCTGAAAGATAGTCTCAGCTTTGGTCTCCCTTGTTGGTATGTTGAACATTTGGTAGCATAAGTAGTTTAACCAGTCTTTTTTTTCCTCTATCCTGTTTTTATTGTTTGCAGCAGAATGCCCAACATAGGACATTATTGCAAGTAATCAGATGTGCAAAAGAGGATAGTGATTAAGTACAAGGAGGAGACATGACTTTCTTTAAATAAATATTCAAACACAGCTCAGTCCTACAAACAGCTTGGGCTCTAGGTTTGTGTAACAGTGCTGCTCTTGACTGTGGAACCAGGAAGATGTCAAGGTTCCCCTCCCCCAGGGTGCCAGTTGTCATGATCACAATGACCCCTGTTCTAGAGCCCTCCCCAGGCTTTCACACATGACCTGGCTGGGGAAAGACATCAGAATTTCTGGAAGGTCAATGATCCAAACCAGTGAAGAATTCATGACTCTCCATGTCCCTGGGCCTAGATGACTTTCTTCAGCTCATCGTAAAGGACCAGCACAAAGCCACCGCCTATGCCCCTGAGGACATTGGTCCAGGCACCCTTGAAGAAGGCTTTGCCCCCCTCCTCCTTGAAGATCTTCTGCCAGCAGTGGATGGCCCCCCTGTACATGATGTCGGCTCCTTTGCGCCCCGACTGCATCATCATCCGCCTCCGCACAGTGTCAAAGGGGTAGGAGACCAAGCCCGCCACGACAGTCACCGTCTGTGCAATGGACGAGCTCACCACAATGTGGGTGTTCTTGGGGTCAGGGAGCAACTCTTTGGCCGTGTCGTACAAGCCGAAGTAGGCAGCCCGGTAGAGGATGATGCTCTGCACAGAGACACTGAAGCCTTGGTACAGGCCCCGGATGCCGTCTGACTTGGTAATCTTCACCAGACAGTGTCCCAGGCCTTTGAACTCCCGCTCGGTGTCAGATTTCCCCACGTCGGCCCCCAGACGGGTTCTGGCAAAATCTAGGGGGTAGACGAAGCAGAGGGAGGTAGCTCCGGCCGCCCCGCCGGAGGCCAGGTTGCCAGCAAAATACCCCCAGAACTGTGTATGCTTATCCACGCCTCCCAGGAAGATCTGCTTGTATTTATCTTTGAAGGCAAAGTTGAGTGCTTGCGTGGGAAAGTAGTAGATGACATTGGCCAGGTTGCCCCTCCAGAACGACAGCACACCTTGTTCCTTGGGGATGCGCAAGATGCAGTCCACGATGCCCTTGTACTGCTTGTCCACTGCGATCTGCTTACTGGCATGTTGCAACTGCAGCAGCAGCTTGACTCGCTCAATTGGGGCCACGGCTGTTTTGGAGATGGCAGCTGTGATGCCTCCGGCCAGGAAGTCCTTGGTGAAAGAGATGGCCTGTTCCGTCATAGCGGCACCACGGGCGGGGCAGCGGGCTCAGGGCTGAGTGGAGGTGCTGAGAGCCGGAGGGCGGGCGCTGCCAGTTCAGGGCTGCAGCGGCCAGTACAAGTTTAACCAGCTTTACTGAGCGGGATCCCATTATCGTAGGGCCGTTGTCCGCCACTGTGGCTATTCTGTTCCTGAGCCCATTGTGACAGAATATAAGTGGGTAACAGCAGAGGCAGACTGAGGTCTACTAGCCAAATCATTCTATTTTTAAATCTTTCTCCTTCTAGGTCCAGGGACAGCTAATCAAGCTATTCACCAATACCCTTAAAATATTATAAATACTAACAACAGGCAACTTTTACTTTCATATAAATTCGATGACTAAGAGCATCCTGACAATCCCTGTTGACTGGGGGAATTTTTTCTCTCCACTTTTCTTCAAGGTCGACCTTAAGAATTGTAGTGTAGTAGCAATCCATTCAAACAGATATGGCTTGAATTTGTGTACATATTTGACCCATCCATGAATTAAGTTCAGCAGTTTTCTTTTTCTGTTACCTGGTCATGAGAAGAGTGTAAGCCCATAGATGTGAACTGAGGTAGACATGTCAGTGTAACAGTAGTGTATGAAATCCATCGGTGTTGGATTTCTTATGTCTAATTCTCAAGTACATTTCCCAAATTCAAAGCAGAAATATTAAAATATTCTAAATTCTATTCTAATGAATATTGTAATCTACAAATTATATAGCATGAATGTCAAAAGATCATTTACACTTAAGGACTTAAATGTATTACTTTCATAATGAATAGGGATATATTATTGTATGTAGCTCCAATTTACAGGGAAGATGCATTCATTGAAAAAGATTTCTCTCAATTATGTTTTAGAATAAAGATGATATTTATAAATATCTCTGATGTAAATGTAACAGCAGACAGCTTTTAAAATGCAACTTTAGGTAGTGTAAATTTTCTTTTCACTGGAGTTAGATTTTAGGATAAATTGAAGCTTTTCGATAGGACTATCTGGTCATCTATTAGACGGTGACACACAATACAGCAGTTTCAAAATGACAAAGAAATGAAGCAATGATTAAAAGTAAAGGCAAAATGGCTTCAATTTTCCAGATTTCTGAATTGACAGAGGACTGATTTAGAAAATGTACAAGTGGGAACATCACATTCTAGATCAGAACCATAATAAAACTAAAATTCATGTTTTCGGTAGAAGTAGAAAGTGTACTCTATAGTAATTTTATGTGCCTGCAAATGATACAGCAGAATCTAGTGGTCTACCAGGAGACATTTTACACTATTAAAACTGTTTTTGAAAAAAAATGTATAGATGTCTATAACTAAAGTCATAAAATAATTGTCAGTTGTTAAATTAACTTAAAAGTATATGTACCAGGGTAAAAAATGAGCAGAGGTGATTTTAATGACTCACTTAAAATTTCTTTATGTCTACATCTGTGATTAACAGTGAAAATAAATGGTGCAATGTAACCTGGTTGAACAAAAAGAAATACTATCTAAGGCAGTAAAATCACACGAAACAGGTCTGCTCTCTGAAACCTAAGTGGATCAATAATTGTTCCTGGCTATAGAATGAACACTCTCTTAATAAATGAACTAAATTAATTTTAAGTAAGATCTTTAAAAAATATATTCCAATAGAAAAGTCAAATATATGCAAATGTTGCAACAATATGAAACTCCATTTGCCCATTATCCAGTGTCAACAACCATCAACTTGGGAGCCATCTGGTTTTATCTATACCCAACTCATTTAGCCACTTCCCTAATTATTTTGAAGCAAATGCCAAATATAACACATTTTCATGGGTAAATATTTCACTATAATCTCTAAAACATAAGGATTGTTTTTCAAAACAGCAAAAAATAGAACAGATGTCAGAACAGAAAACTATAAAAAAGGCACAGATATTTTCTAGTGCTCAAAATCCTCAACTGTTCACAACTACTTTGCAAAACAGCTGCATAAAATTTATTTTCCTAATAAATTATTTTCTGAAAACAAAGAACACTTTCTCAAAGTTAACATGCACTTTCGCATCAATCCCACCATTTGGGCTAATGGAAAATAAAACAGTGGTGGAAATGACCTTAGAAATCAAGTTGTTTTTCAAACACTATGAGTAGTGTAAATCTCTTACAAATGAAAATATTCTGGGATCCACACTAGATCATATGAGAGCAGAATTGTGTTGTATGAATTCAACAAGAATGGTTGGATATCCAAAAATCTCACTGTACTCCACATTTGTGGCAGGTATCTAAATAATTCTGAAGAGAATATTATGGCTTCTGAATAGTTTAGTAACCACACATTTATTCCACCTGCTTCATGGTTCAGATAAGGAAGGTGAAATTAAATGATTTCCCTGTTAGAAGCAGTTAATTAGTAACAGAGCTGATATAAGTAACTCAACTCCAATTAATGGTGTTTGCATTACACATAGTACCATGGACTTTTCTAGAAAAACTATTAAACAATTTTATTTTTCCATATTGCTTACATAACTATGCCTCATTTTGATTGATGGTTCAGTGTTAATTAAAGTGTTATAAGTTGAAATATTATTTAAACGAACTTGTGGTCCTCACATTTCCAAAAGACCTGAAATAAATCTTTGTGATTTAAAGAATCTTATTGAATACTTCAAAGCCATCCACTCATTTCTCTATTTTATAAACTCTAATTCATTTTATATAAGCAAAGGCTAATTATGTGAACTTACAAATGCACATGGAGAAAAATTATAATTAATGCATGAACGTAGAGAGTTTAGCTAAGCCACTCTGTGGAGTTGCCGCCTCATCATCCATTTTGTTTGGCCAAGGGGACTGCAGTGGCTTGAATCTGACATTAACTCCTCATGCAAGTACATACCCATATAGCAACCTAAAGAGTCACAAGCAAATGTAAGTTACTGATACAACTTCCCCAATAGCCCTTGTGATCAACAGCCTCCCCTGCCTTGGGCTATACCTTATGCTTTGCTTAAATAAGACCGCCATGAATCATATCAAAGCCCCCTCTTTTAGTTTAATTTGACCAATCCATCTTAGTCTGGAAATCCCAAAGCAAACCACCCATGTACACTAACAAAACATGGTGCCCCAGGTCCTGTCTCTTTGTCTATACGCTGCCTTAAGCTCTTCATGTGCCCGCTCAAGGGGCCGCTGGTACTTCCTCCAAAATCTGTGAGTAATAAGCTCTATTCCAACTTGCTTTGTGGTCTGTTGTTGTGTAGAGGCTCATCATCTAACACTTTATGCTGCACTTAATGAATATTATTTTGATAAATTCACAATGGAAAAAAAATCATGTGATACAGGTATTTTCAGTGGCAACCAAAACTACTGGAAATGTAAAATAATTTAGAATAATGAGGATCATCTCATTGTAATTTCTCTTTTCTCTGAACTGTTTATTATTTCCTGTGGCTTAATGTCATGTTCTTATGGAAACACAGTAATCTCAATAAACTGTATTTAGTGGAAAACCAATAAAATATAATAACACTCAATATATTTCATGAAACTATACACTCAGGAAACAAAATATATAGTATTGATATACTAATATTTTTCTTTATATTTAGACAAATTGTAATTTCAAATGAATTAGGAAGATGTTCCTCAAAATAAGAAGCACAACAGTTAGAGATAGATTTAAAACCTGAGTAGCTGATTTGCTTCAAAATAAAATATAAAAGTTATCATAATTATATTAATAATAAAGATAACATTTATTCAACACTTTCTATGGGAAGACACTGAGCTCAGTATTTTATATGCATTTGTCTTATTTTATTATTATAAATATCCTAGGAAGGATATATTAATGAAATTTAATGGTTCATAGCCATTAAATATACTTTAATCTTTAAGAGCATGATGTTTAAAGCAGAGAGAAACCTGGGTTAAAAGGCTTGCTCTGCCACATATTAAGTGTGAGACAAAAAACAAGATATTATATCTCTTTAGAATTTCTACTCCAAAAATTTGAATAATCTTATTTATCTTGTAAGATTGTTCTGAGAACTAGAGATTATGTATGAAAAAACCTGTTTAATAGAATACACTAAACAAATTGGAGATATTACATTGCATTACTGCTTGTGTAACTATTGCTTACTACTGTAACTGTTGTCATACCACTTATTGATATTCCCATTCCTGTGATTTTTACTATTTTGATTTTATTTCTTCTCATGTGACTAAAATGGAAAAAAGTGCAGTAATCATTATTATAAAAATTCACCATAAGCTACTTGTTCAGAGATGACATTTCAAAAGTGATCTTATTTCCAAATGAGTCCAATCTCTTAAGGAATTAATAGAGTATGTAAGACATTCTACACTGCAGAAATTAACAGCCTTTGAACATTTCTGAAAATGTTCCAGACATTGAAACAAATTATTATCTATTTACTTTTCTAACACTGACATTCTCTGTAAACTAATTGATGATCAGTGGTTAACTCAAAAGGTAATTTCTCTATAACTGGCCTATTTTTAATAATCTTGGTGAAAAATGTAAAATTGTTTCCCCCATTCATCTTTTAAATACAATGACATGAGTTTATTAACAAAAAGTTATATTTGTTATACTCCAGAGGATTTTTATGACATAGGATTTGTCATTTTAAAATATATAAATCTCATTCACCCTACATCACTACCAATCCAAATCCATCTTAGGCAATTCATCTCATGTGCCATAGTATACACAAAATAATGGTTTACCATTACTATGCAATAATTTTAATGATTTTATAAAATTGTTAAGTGTAATAATTAAATTTTTTTACTTCTAAAAAGTATTTTTTTGAATTTTTACAATTGATTTAATCATTTTAGCACATTAGAAAGGGAAATATGAGTTTATCATTAAAACATTTCAACAGAATGCCCCTTAATTTCAGAACAGTCATTAGTCCTTTTTACTATTAGTTGAACACTTCATCAACTATTTGTATAAGTCCTGATAAAGTATT